TTCTTCTCGAACATTCCGTGGCATAGAGTTGGAAAAATGTCTATAAAGTAAAACAAAACAAGATCGATGTCCATGCGCGACGTTCCAAATTTGAATTTTATTTTTAACTATATTATATGGCTATTTGCGATCGCAAACTATTATCCGGTACGACGTTTCCAAATTTGACTCGATTTTTAATAAAACCTACTATGCAGGTACGTTTTAATAAACATCTACTTAACCTACACATGATACGTACCTAATTATATTTTCATCTAAATATCACACTACATTCTAACAGAAATCAATTTACAATCTCAATTAATACCACACAATGAAATTATGATTAACATATCGAGTCATTAAACTGTCAAAGTGAACGCATTAATCGATGCGCCGGCATTGGCAAAAACAAAATCGACTTAATCAGTACCAATTAATGATCGAAATCCATCGAACATGGCCGATAAAAAACTCAAACAATGTAGCCACCATTTTGAAAATTCATTAAACCCGCGAAGAGCTTTAATACGGGCCAACACACCAAATCTGACACGTGATTAGGGTTGCCACATTGAAAAAACAACGAGACAAGCCATTATGGACGATAATGCTCGCGAGTGTTGCTAGATTATCGATAATTATTACAAAAAATAACCGCTGCCTGTAGATCATATCGCGATAAGTGTAAAACGTCTTAATGCGTTGCCCATAATATTTTTATTTGTTTTGTATGCCAGCTTGTAATCTGTTTCTGTAATCTAAATGTTGTCTCTCTCTTTTTTTATATAAACTCTTGCGTGCGAGAAGGATGGACGTAATGTTATTAGTCTTGTTTTGACTTTTGAACGCTCAATCCTCTATGACATGAGTTGTACAATGAAGGTACGTTTTGTCACTTTTGTGTATCGACATTTTGATTTCTTAATCGTCTTCCCGAATGACAGTGACATCTCGATTAAATAATTCTTTGTTTGTAATTTGTTTCTTGATACAATACTGGGTTGCTTTTCTGAGAAGAATCGATAAGAGTGAGGAAGAACTACCTTTTAATGTTGTCTAATGGAATGACTTGGAAATATCTAGAACTGGTTTTCAACTTTAGCATGATTGATCAAACAGTAGCCTTTAAAAGTTTACTAGCTTTACCCGCGACTTCGTCTTCGCAAACTTTCATCCTCTTATTCACCCCTTTCAGTTTTTTGTAGACCTTTGATCCAATAAAGATGAGGTTTTTTTTAGGTAACAGACAGCCTGTGTCCATCGTAACGTTATTTATTTAATTATTTAATACAATATAAACTTACAGCTAATTACCAACACTTTATATTTTAAAACTATTCTATATTTATACACTTATATTTTAATATATTATACTTAACTATATAAAGACAGAAACTTACTTATTTCATTTATTATAGAAGGCAAGGCTTCTGTGTACACGTAAGCATCTTGGACGTTACTATCTTCACGTTAATTGTATAACGTGTAGCTTTGTAAGCCCAGTTTCGATGAAGTTATCTCAATAAAGAAGTGAAATGACAGGCTATGGAGTTTTGACATTTTTATCTTTCGAAAAGGTATTGCTGTTTTGTTTTGTTCATATATATAGGCGATGGTTACCACTTACCATCAGGTACCCTGTCAGCTTATCTACGGACCATACTAATAACATAAAAAACTATATGAATGTAATAAATGCCTTTTATTACATTTACACAGTGCTTCGATCAATCACGCGGCGTGGACAAAATAATGAACTTGATAAATGCAGAGTTTCCGCAAACAATTAGCCCCCTTTGATTCCCCTTTGCGCGCCTTTAATGTTCTAATAAAATTCCCTAAGCCATTTCTACTTAAGTTTACAATTCTAAGTATTAAACAGCTGATGATTCAGCTTTTAACACTTAAATAAGTACTTAATATAATACATTTTGATTTTATAGTAGCCCATTTCAAGTATGACGAGTATTTCATATATTATTTGTTTTGTAATTAAGTTATTATTTTGATATATTTAAACTTACTATTGGAGAGCGTCAATGTTTAGTGTTTTTTAATTTGTTTATTTATTTAAATTTTCATCAATGTACAGTTTTGATGGAGTATTGACTCCCAAACTAGTGTAAGATGTACATCATCCGTTAGTTTTATCCCGGCTTATTGACGAATACCGATGTAAAACGAAAAAATATATATTAGTGATTTTTCTTGAGGACTCACAGGTGATGACTGAAATAAATTTATCAGACGAGAGATACGTCTTCAATCTGACTGTTCAATTATACTAAGTGAATAGGTGTATGTATGTAGATAAAAAGGTAGATAGGTAAATCATTTATTTGGGTCCTTAGCACACATACAACAATATAATACAGTAAGTGCTTTAAGTCTGTTATATGCATCTTTATCTATATTATTGTGCATTAAAACTTTTATGTAGTAAATAAAAGATGAAAATAAAATATACACCAAAACATGTCAATACCATTCACAATGTCAGCAATTTAGAATACCTCTGACTACTCATTCTGGTATTATCGTCGTGAAGATAAATTTTATTTAACACTATTACATTTACAAATGGACAGTCCAACAAAACAAATAACGGAAAGCCGTAAAATGATAGTCGAGGAAGTCCGACGTTGGCTGATGGTGCGATACGCGATGATCTACGATCCAATTATAAACATACAGTATTTATACGAAATGTACTGCTTTTAACTTAAACCGTAATATATATGGTTTTTATGGTGATGTATACTTCGTAGGGTTGTGGGTAATAATTGGAAGAGAAGGGCTGAAGAGTGTGCCTTGAGAAAGGCCTACGTCCGCCAGTGCTCTGATGTTGATGATGATATTGTGTGTGGTAGTTCTATTTTATTTGTGTATAGGTAAAACGAAAAGACTAGGTAGACGTATTTATAAAACTATTGACATAACAGATTGAAGTATAAAACCAAGAAAGTAATATAAAAGAACTGTAAATTTAATACAAATTTGGAATAAAAAATATATTTCTGATTAGCAAGATACAACACTTTGTTAACAATATTCTTAATTTTATGTTAGAACTAGTCATACATCATGATCTCTTAGCGATTTAACTACTACTTCACAGGTCGATGGTCGCAAGTATTCATGAGTATGACTATTATTATTGTATAGGTTTTGTAAATGCATAATTATGTTATGTACTTAAAAAGTTGATTTTGATTATACTTCTAAGTTATTTAAGCCTTTCTTTATATATACCTAGTAACTTTAAATAGTATAAGGTCTGCTCGATTTGAGATTAAATGTCTCTGTATAAAATATATATATATGCACGTTGATTTTTTATTAAATCAATCTAAATAAATATTTATAATTTATTTTGACCAGCTTACATAGCCAACCGCAACATTGTGTTAAAACAATGCTAGATTTGAATATAATTGTGATATCCTCAACACGTTTGCATCGCGTATATTTGCATAAACAAATACACAAATCGCCCACTGTTTGATTTATTGCTCGCGGATAAATGCTGTTTGATAGTGATATAAATTCAGACGGTCTCGGGTTCAATTCCAGTACAGTAAAAATATTTTTCTTTATTCATTGGTCTGAATATTTTATACGTACCTTCATTAATACATATCTACCTAGTTACTATATTAGCTTTTGCCCAGTGTTCGAAATTTTATCATAATTAATTCCAGTTATATATTTAAACATTACTAAGGTTCTATTATTAAAGTTTATATGTATGTGTGTAAATAAATGGTAGTGTTTGTAATGTTTTTTTACTGATTTAATATATTATTGATGCATTAGTTAAAAAAATATTAACATTCTACACTCTTTCTTTTATGTATAAGTGTGCGAAATTTCATACTCAACCGTCCGTGCAATTTTCTTAAAAAGGGTACTAAGTTTTTATTCATCTATATAGATATTAAAAATATATATTTGCGTATTTCTTTACCTTGTTTAAAAACTCCATAGAAGAACCGCTCCACACACATTTTTTTTTTATTTTGACCAACTCAAATAAACAACCACACCACTGTGGTTGCTACAGAGCTAGATTTGAATATAATTACATTATCCAATACACGTTTGCACCGCGCATACTACAGTATATTAGCATACACAAACACACAAATTGCGCACTGTTTGATTTATTGTTCGCGTTTCCATGTTCCTGGCTAATTGCTGTCTGTCTGTTGGTCATATAAATACCGTATATGGCTACGTGTTATTGTAATACAGTACGATAAATACTAGTATTTAAAGTTATATTACAAAGAGAAAGGATTTGATTTTTAACTTAATTACTTGTAATTAAAGTAAGTTTTGGTTTTGTCTAACTTCAAAGTCCATCGCTATATCGTTTTTTTTATTTACGTCAATCAATATCAATAATAATCAATTGTTCAAATTAAATAGTTGTTTTTTATTATTATTTGTAGGCATACTTTATTGTTACTCTTAGTCAGGTCAGCTAGACATCATTACCTACATAGTACAAAACAAAGTCGCTGTTGTTGTCTGTCCGTCCCTATGTATCCTTAAATCTTTAAAACTACGCAACGGATTTTGAAGCGGTATTTTTTAAATAGATAGTGATTCAAGAGGAAGGTTTATATGTATAATACATGTACACCTATCCGAAGCCCGGGCGAGTAGCTAGTTGTATAATGTAAGATAGAACATTCTAGGTTAGTAAATGATTTTGACGCGGTCAATAAAAATGGACAAATTTTGTTTGTTTGTTTGTAACACTTTATTGTACAGTAAATACATTTAAATTAAATAAGGTTATAACGATCTTAAAATTGTACAATAGCGGACTTATCCCAAATGAGGATTTCTTCCAGTCAACCTTTGAATGACTGAAAGGAATGTCAACTTGTATAAACCAATGTTAACTATTGTTCTAGCAAATAAAATATTCTATCTCTCAAGGTTAAATATCATAAACTACTTTACTGCCTTATGATAAAATCTACAATTGAATACTATCTTTCCAGGTGAAGGTTCCTGTAACAGCAATGATGGGTACAGCCAAAGAACGCCGCCAGATGACAAATCACCTCCTGGTAGTGACGATGACACCCCAAGACCAGGGTCTGCAGCAGACAAGAAGAAACACAGAAGAAACCGAACTACTTTCACGACATATCAGTTACACGAACTGGAGAGAGCGTTCGAGAAGAGTCACTATCCTGATGTGTACTCCAGAGAAGAATTAGCTATGAAGGTCAACCTGCCAGAAGTTAGGGTACAAGTAAGTGGCTTTTTTTCTCACACTTTATCTTCTTCTTTGTACAATAAGCATCTGTGTCTTCTAATTTTGTTGCGTAAGACTCTTGCCATTTTCCACAATCTTTTTTCAATTTCTTTGGTGAAATGGCAAAACTCCACTGATAAGAATGCGGCTCTTAAATTATAAATGTATGTATTTAATACATACATTTATAATTCTACCTTGGCATGGTCAGATCAGAAAATTAATAGAAATACAATATAAATAGAAATATAAAGAATCTTTATTCAAATAAAGTCAATACAAGCGCTAAATAATTACACAACAACAAGTAAGAGGCATGCGATAATCAATATAGAACTCATTCTTAGTAAAATCAGATAATATTGTCAGCGCAATTTTTTTAATTTATAAATAATTGTATGTAATAGTAATAATATATAGAAATAAATCAAAACGGTTAAGTCGTTTCCGAGTTTAGCATGTACAACCGCAAAGGACAAATTAACAAAAATTCTAATACTGTTTTTTTTTACTCCGGTAAGTACAGACTACTTTACTAGATTTTTTTATATTAATGTTTACATAGGTATATTACTCGTAATTTTCAGTAGGAATTTATCAATATGGTTTCCGGGGAGGACCGCATGGAGGCCAACCTGGCAAGATACATTAGTAATGGGTTCATTAGTTCACGTTAAAAATACAATTCCGCCACATAGATACATTATATATATATATAAGACACACAGACCGATACGCATATCTATATAGTGATCAAACATTGAATTTCTGCATATATTTATAGAGTTACAATTTCATAGTTGTTGACAATTTAATTAACATAAATAAATTTGTTAGTATGTGTTTGAATAATGACAAAAAGTAACCATGTAGGTATGTTTGTTAACTATAATGAGCCACTTACCAATTTCTCAGTTTGCCTTATGCTTGACTGGTAGAGAACGCCCTTTGGTGTTAAGTTCGCCATATTCAAATATATATATTGCAGTTTATTTATTAAATACAATTTAATATTTAATTTTTATATATTCTTTATAAATAAATAATGACTCAGTCCTGCTACTACCAAGTAGATCAATAGTTTTAATATAGATTCAAATCAAACTTAACAAAATTTCGCGTTACTGAAATGAGAATGTTCGCAAACAAAACGAAGGGCCCTTAGAAAAGGGTAAAAGGACAATAATGAACCCAAAGGGCTTATGCCACTCAATTCCCTACAGCTTCGCGAGACGAACATATGTCAGGCGGAACGACCAGCTTACAAAAACCTTCGCACCCCAGTGTTTATATAACAAAACGAGATTTTGCAGTATAACTAAGAGTTATACGGAGGTCTAGTTAAATTTGTCGCTTGCTAATTGCTTTCTAATACGACAAAAACGTTTTTAAGTAAAAAGAAATTGTTTTGGTTTTAATTAGGTTCATAATAAAGATAGCATTGTCTACTTTCCAACTTAGACCAAAATGTCTCAGTTGAAATCTGGTCGACATAAAAAGTAGTAAGTTTTATTATTATTAGTATTATACTGTACCTAATATTTTATTTTACGTTTATCTGGCAACCCGTCGAATAAAATATTTTGATGGCAATACATCGGTGAAAGCTTAATTCAATTCCATGCAGTAGTGTTGTTGTGATACGTCGTACAAACGATGTGAATATTTGTATTATACATACAATCTTTTAGACATACAAACAAAATATAATATTTTTTACTTCTCTCTTTTACGTCGTATAAAATAAAGAAATGAATTATATTATATGTATAGATGTCCTTAATAATTAAAACCTAAACTATCATTAGAAATCTCTATATTCTTTTATGAAAATTCCTTCAGCAGTTTTTAAGATTATTGTGAATATACAGATATACGCAGCTGAGGCTTTCTTTTATAATATATTAAAGACTAGCTTTTCCGCGCAACTTCGTCTGCATCACACTTACTTGACATTCGTCATGATATTTTGCCCAATTTACATAACATCTTTTAAAATTATAGCCTATATGTTATTCTTATGTATAAGCTATATTACTGTAAAGTTTAATTTAAATCCGTTCAGTAGTTTTTGCGTGAAAGTTTGTGTGAAAAGTGAAAGTTACACGCATTTATAATATTAGTAAGATATATTTTCAGTTCGTTTTGCAATATATAACATATATATACATATATTTTGAGTCAATGACATTACGAACAAAGGGAACATTACGAATCCAGAGTATTTGCGGAACATTAGGAAATGTTATGTCAATTTATCTTTTCCCTTAAAAGACATTTTAATCAACCAACCCCTTTTGTAATTATCTTGCCATTCGGCGGTCATCAGTTTATCTCCCACGGCAATATAATCGTACTTACATATAAAAAAAATAAGTAAACATTAGACGTATGTCTATAGCAGAATATATGAAATTTAACCGCAATAATAAATATAAAATCTTCAGTTTGTACTATAAAAAGGAATAATATACATATTTATATATGTACATAATAATCACGACGGCCTCGGTGGTTCAACGGATTAGGCACCGGGTTACTTCCGATCGTCGCGGGTTCGATTCCTCGCCCATTCCAAATATTTTGCATTGCAAGTATAAATTGACAATCTATACATATAAATAAAATTGGAGTGTCTGTTTGTAGTATTGAAACAACCGTTTTTTACTACATGCATATGAATATAAATACGGTGTATACATTAAAATAACATTTTTTACAATTTTTGTCTGTTTGTTTGTTTCGGCTAATCTCTGAAATGGCTTTACCGATTTTGACGGGACTTTTTTTGACAGGTATCTAATGTAATAAGGAGTAACTTAGGCTACTTTTATTTTAGAAAAATAAAGTTAAATTCCACATGGACGAAAACGCGGGTACAGTTAGTACGAAATATTTGCAATGTCCGAAGCCAGAAGAAAAAAAAATTGGCAATGCAACTGTTCTATAAGTTCCATTTTTGAAATTCCTTTTTTTTAATCGGTTGCAACTTTTTTTTAATCTACAAACGTTGGATGTGCTTGTAAATTAAACGCGTACCTTCATATCGAATCTCGTACCTCGTATAGGTAGGTTACGTCTACTAGACGTGTTTAAACGAATTACCGGCCGCTTCCGTTACAAACGGTAAAGCCTCTAACGATAGTTCCAAATGAACTAGACTTGAATGTAGATAGTTCTATTGCAAAATTGGTTTGATCATAAAAAATATTTGTTTATGATTCATACTAGATATAATTTATTAAGTAACTAGCTACTCATCCCGGCTTCGCACGGATGTACACGTATTATACATATAAACCTACCTCTTGAATCACTCTATCTATTAAAAAACCACGTTTAAATCTGTTGTGTAGTTAGTTTAAAGATTTAAGCGTACATAGGGAGTTAGGGACGGACAGACAGCGACTTTGTTTTATACTATGTAATGACTAGCGAAGCAAATATTTAGCTAATTAAATATTGCTATAAATAACAGAGTTAAAGGGTGAAAATCTGAATTTGTATGTATTTTTCAATGCTAAATTATAATAAATTAAAAATAATTCTCATTATTTTTAATTTATTAATAAAATTGTCAAAAATGGGCTCCTCTAAATAATGTAACAAGTATAAGAACACACATGTATACCTAGTTTTTTTTCTGTAACTGTAGTGCCATATTGGACTACAGTATACTACCCGTATTTTCCGTTAACACTTAAGTAAAAAAAAGGTATAAAATGTAACTCTTCAATCTAATCGCAAAACGATCCTATCTGATCAGCTACAATTAATCTATACCCGTCTTTATAAAGGCAGTCACACATAAACACTTCACTATTGTCACCGCATGTTTTATAAAAGAACCAGTATAATTTGATCTCTTGCAGCAAATAATCTCATATAAATGATAGTTCCACAATTGAATGTCACATTTAGATTAATTTAGAGCTGTACAAAAAAGTCCAGTTTAAATTGATATATGCGATGTGTTGAAGTTGTTTGGCTAGAGGGTTCTATTGTGTTTGGACGTAATACAAAGCATAGAGTCCATTAAACGGCGAAGAGACAACAATGAGAAAGTGATGGTAATCGAATTCGCTACGTTGGACACGTCGGGAAAGATGTAGGGTGACTATGAATTGGAATAGAATTATTTAAAAATGGAACTCCATTCAAATATTGATAATACAATGGATTTAGCAATAATGCTTTTATTCTAATTTGCACCATGCAGGCATATACTTAATGCTTACTCTAGCTTGAATGACCTCTATGTTGATAAGATCATTTGAAAGTGAATTAGTATTGAAACAAAACATTATAATTAGTAGTGATGGCCCAGTGGTTGAAATTCGAACGTTATTATTTATCTGAGTCACTGTTCATAGGCCGCCATTTTGTGCCTCATTACTCTAGAAAAACCGGAAGTGACAACATAAGTTCTCTAACTTATGTTTTTTCTCTAACTATGTTTGTGTGTGTTTGCCAAATACTGTACTTTGTGTAATGTTTTTTTTTACTCATTGAACCTATTTTTTATGCATTATTTAAAAAATAGTACTCTTTATTCCTTCTCTATATAAATTAAATATATAAATATATGTTTGTGTGTGTGTACGAAATTTCATATTTTTATATATTTTACCTATCTTTCATTCCATAAATCTTCGTTCAAATAAAGTTAACATAATTACTTTTGAATAGTCTTCTAATAATACATTTATTTTATGCTACCACTCATTCAAAATGCAGACTCAGCACATGAAGACCAAGGACAAAACTTGCCTGTTGCACTTTTCAATAAATATAGCGGCCAATCAGTAGAAATTATGCTTTTCGTCATTAAAATAAGATAATTCTTAAATAATTTAAAAGACAGCACTGTCCTCAATAGTACGTCACATGTGTACACCGTAGTATTCAATAGCTTGTCACTTATCAGCGACACGCTCGACTTGCCGCAGAAATGTGCTAATAAACGTTTTTGTACTAACACGCCCCGTCTGTTACAC